TGAAAATGCCCAAGTTCAGCATGCCTGGTTTCAAAGCAGAGGGCCCTGAGGTGGATGTGAACTTACCCAAGGCCGACATTGACATCTCAGCACCCAAGGTGGACATTGAAGGCCCTGATGTTAGCATTGAAGGACCAGAAGGAAAGCTAAAAGGTCTGAAGTTCAAAATGCCTGAGATGAACATCAGTGCTCCCAAGATCTCCATGCCAGATTTGGATCTTAATCTTAAAGAACCTAAAATGAAAGGAAATATAGATGTCTCATTTGCAAATGTGGAGGCTGATTTGGAGGGGCCGACACTTGACTTAAAGGGCCCAAAGTTAGATGTCGACGTTCCAGATGTTGACATTAGTAGCCCAGAGGGCAAATTAAAAGGACCAAAATTGAAGATACCTGACATGCACATCAACATGCCCAAGATCTCTATGCCAGATATTGACTTGAATTTGAAGAGCTCATCAGTGAAGGATGATGTTGCTATATCTGGTCCCAAATTGGAGGGTGACATCAAAACTCCTAAGTTGGATGTGAAGGCTCCAGATCTGGACGTTTCTGGGCCTAAAATCAATATGGAAGGCAAGTCAAAGAAATCTCGTTTTAAGCTTCCCAAATTTAATTTTTCTGGCTCAAAAGTTCAGGCACCTGACGTAGATGTCAAAGTTAAAAAGCCAGATGTTGATGTATCTTGTCCAAAATTTGATATTAATGCTCCTGATGTTGAAGTCCAAGGAAAAGTGAAAGGATCCAAGTTCAAAATGCCTTTCCTGAGCATTTCATCACCGAAAGTGTCTATGCCTGACGTAGAGCTAAATTTGAAAGGTCCTAAAGTCAAAGGGGACTTAGAGGTTGCGGGCCCTACATTGGAAGGAGAGATTAAAGTTCCAAATGTGGATATACACACACCGCAAGTCCATCTGAATGCACCTGATACAGATGCCCACAGTCCTGAGTGGCACCTCAAAATGCCCAAAATGAAAATGCCCAAGTTTAGCGTGTCTGGCCTCAAAGCAGATGGGCCTGATGTGGCTATGGATATGCCAACAGAAGATATCAACATAGGAGGTCTTGGTCTGAATATTGAGGGCCCAGATGTCAATGTGGAGGGACCAGAGGGAAGTTTAAAAGGACCCAAATTCAAAATGCCTGAGATAAACATCAAAGCTCCCAAGATCTCCATGCCTGATGTCAACTTAAATCTGAAAGGCACAAAGGTGAAAGGTGATGTGGACGTTTCTCTTCCCAAAATAGCAGGAGATCTGCAGGGGCCTGAAGCTGACATTAAAGGCCCCAAAATGGACATGAATGTTCCAGACATGGATATTCAGGTTCCTGACTGGCACCTGAAGATGCCAAAGGTGAAAATGCCCAAGTTCAGCGTGCCTGGCTTGAAAGCAGAGGGCCCTGAGGTGGATGTGAACCTGCCCAAGGCCGACATTGACATCTCAAC